GCTGCCCGCCGCGCTCCGCTGCCCGCCACTCCCCCGACCGCCGCCCGGCCGCGCCCCGGGACGCTTTGATTGGCTCTTGGTTGACAGTTTAGCGCCGCGGAAGGCAGTTCCCACACCGCCCCGTGTAGCCCGGGTGGACGTTGACAGGGTAAAGGCTCGTCTGCGGTACCTCGCTGCTGGGCTCGCTCGCTGTGTGAGGTAACGACGGCCACCGCGTTGGCTGGCATGGCGGGTTCTCGGTGGCGAGCCCTCCCTCCAGGTGTCGGGAACGGGAACGGCGCCCCTGCGGTGCAGGGCATTTCGTAGTCGGCGGGGACAAGTGGCCAGCGCTTGCGCTCACTTGGCCAGCCTCCGAGTTATCCTCACAGCTCTCCTGAGATAGGAAGTTATTTTTGTAATTGTGCTTTGGAATGTTTTCGGTCTAGTTGACCAAAAAAGAAATGGTTTATGGAAGGCACAGATTTTAAAAGTCAAAACCAAGTCCTTGGAGATCTGTAAGCCGACCTCGCTAAAAGAGGCACTCGGCCTTGCCTTGATCCACCCGGATTTCTCCCCATTTGCTCGGTTTACCGTTCCGCTTCTCCTGAGTCATATTCTCCCGTGAAGTTACACGTTCATTTTGAGTGACCGTGGAGTTTTGCCTTAAATTGCTAGATCAGTGTTTACAGTTGTAATCTTCGTTAAACTCTGAAACAGACGCTTTTTGTGTTTAACCAACGTTACAAAATGTGAAATACTTTAATGTAACAAGCTTTTGTGGTAGCAATCAAGATTTTTTTTTGAATTATATATGTACGAGTGTTTGCTTGCTGCATGTATGCATGTTCACCACATGTGTACTTGATGCCGGAGGAGGTCAAAAGGGGGCGTTGGATTCTCTGGAATTGGAGTACTTTTGTTGTGAGCCACCATGTGGGGGCTGGGAATCAGACCCACCCAGGTCCTCTGGAAGAACAACAGCCAGTGCCTGGGAACACTGAGCCACCCCTTCAGCCTTGTAGCAATTCTTATAATGCTTTTGATTGAGGTACGACCGGTGTGTGTGTGTGTGTGTGTGTGTGTGCGTGTGTGTGTGTGTGTGTGCCCGCGCGTGCACGCTTGTGCTTAGGTGTAGGTCAAAGGACTTGAGAGTTTTGGTTCTCTCTTTGACCTTATGGCTTCAGGGGATGGACCTCAGGTGGTCATGGGCAGATGCCCCTGCCTGCAGAACCATCTTGCTGTCCCCTTGAATTGAAACATTCTCTTGAGAGAGAAGTCTGGCTACATTGCTGTGTAATGATTCATCCACATTAGTGGAGGAAGAGGAGGTCCATGATGTGTGAATATTTTAATTTATATTACAAATACAAACTGTATTACTGTTTGTTAACATAGCCCTACGTTCTGGGTTTTGTCTTTAAGCTTCGTTCACATTAGTCATCTCTAATGCTCCAGCACCTTAGCTTCAGAGTTCAGACAGTATGTGGTAACTGGTGAGCCTCTGCACACTATTCAGGCTCTGTCCTTAGCACTGGGTCTCCAGGTAAATGCTGGATGTGGTTAAAGGTGGGTGCTACATTTTAAACCTCACGTGCTGTCGTGCTGTGGCTAAGGCGTTGGGGCTCAGCCAGAGAGGCTGAATTTGTGTCCTGGCTTGCTGTAGGCATTTGTTTATCCTCTGGATTCAACTCTCTCCATGCCAAAAATGGAGACGATGATGTTTATGCCCTTAGGATGATCTCAAACACGAAATAAGTTAATGCAAGTGTCCTTTTGCAGCGCGTAATAGGCAGTGTTTGGTGGGCGTTACTCTTCTTGCTGCCGGTTTCCCACAGTTAATCAGCCAAAGGAAGACATCAGGCTGGCTGGGCAGGATTAGCGCAGGTTGTTAATTCCCGTGATCCATTTTCTTCTTTGAAGCTGCGAGTGTGTAGTCTCACTGTTGTTTCTTGGAAACATGTAAGTTTTAAATAGAGTAGGTATCACTGTTGTTTCTTGGAAACATGTAAGTTTTAAATAGAGTAGGTACACCCTGAGCAGACTGCCCTGGGATGCTGCTGGAAAGCTGAGTATCTTGGCCTGTCCCCTTGGACAGAACCTTGGAATGCCTGCCTCATGTTGCTGGTAGCTGCTATTTTAATCACCTGTTTTCCAGTTATTGACTGTCTCTTTGTCATATGTTGGTATTGGATGCATTATCAAAATACTGGTGGGCACATGGATGTTTCTAGAATATACAGAGTAATTTTTTTTTTTTTGAGACAGGGTTTCTCTGTAGCTTTGGAGCCTGTGCTGGAACTACCTCTTGTAGACCACGCTGGCCTCTGCCTTTCAAGTGCTGGGATTAAAAGTGTGTGCCACTACCACCTGGCATAGAGTAAATTTTATGTACGCATTCTGTTTGTCTTTATTGATGTTACATAAAAAGATGGTGCTTTGATTTTGCATTATATTCATGTTCAGCTTTCATCTAATTTTCCTAGAAAATGGGTCTCACCCATTAGTAATTTCATATTTTTATTCTTGGTTTGCAAGGATTTGATGCAACTTGGGCATCTCTTATCTGATATTCTTGGGGCCCACAGATGTTTTAAATTTTGGAATATTTCCATACCTCTGAGATGTTTTGAAGACGGTACCCCATCTGAACATGATAGACATTTGTATGTATGTAGACTGTGATGTTACATGAAAGTTTTTAGCATGCCTGCATTTTGTCTGCAGTGTGGCAGATGAGGTCAGCTGCGAGCTTTCTGTCGGTGGTGTCAGGCTGGTGTTCAGAAGGTTTGGGGTTTGGAATTTTAGATTAGAGTTGTGCAGCCTATATTCAAAGTCTGTTCTTAAATCAGATATTTTCAACTTGAACTCAGGATTCCTTTTACATTTTTTGTAGGTTATATCCATATTTATTTTGTTATAATTTTTGTTAATTCACTTATAATTGTAGCCTTAAACACATTACGTATTAATATAAACAACATATTTTTAAATGAAAAAAAAAGCAGGACAACAGACCTGTGAGAAGAGTGATAGTGTCTTACATATTGTAAGTTTTCCATGCTTTTTCTCTATCTCTTCTTTCCTTCCCCTCCCTTCTCTTACTCTCCTCCCACCCTTTGTTTTTGGAGTGTACTAGGCAAGGAAGGCCTCTACCGCAGAGTTATACCCCAGACTTAATTTGTATAATTCTTTAATATCAAGTAATACAAACAACTAGGTTATTTCTGCTTCAGCATTCAATCTATTGCAATATGTTGTTTAGGTTGAAGTGTATATATGGAGAACATCTAGCCAGGCACAGTTAATGGCTGTAAAGGGGAGGGAATAATTGTGGATATTTTCATTTGGTATGTCATCAAAACTCAACAACTGGCACTTTCTTAAAGGTTAATTGCAAGATGGAAGCTGAAATCCTGTCTGGTTTTTTTTTTCATGCTCATTTATACTTAAGTGCATTGTGAGCTCTAAATGGATCTTATGCACATTTGGATTTGTAACAATTTGTTGGTCAGGTGTTAAGTATTGGTTCACTGAGTTGGGCACATCTTCCAAATGGTGGTGCATTTTATTGTATAGTACCAAAGAAAGTCATGTCTTTGGGTCCTAGTACTGGGGATTGGACCTAGGGTCAGCCAGATCACTTATGTACTCTTAATTTTGGCATAGTTTTATTAGGTTGTCTGCTGGGTTTGCAGGCTTGTTCTCCCAGGCCCAACAGAAGCACATAATAAGTAATAGTAATAAACAATAAGCACATTGTTAATATGCTTATTCCGTGAGAAATTAGTGGAAGTTGTTTGGGTTGTAATATGATGGAGGATGTGAGTTTTACAAAAGAAATACTATTGTGTGTGCATCTGTGCTGCGGTGTGCATGTGGAGGCAGAGGACAGTGATTGCCAGTTCCTTTCCTTCCGCCTTGTGCTTCCCGGCAACTGAACTCAGCATGCTAGGCTTGGTTGTTGCAAGTGCCTTTACCTGCTGAGTCACTGGCCAGTTTAAGACCTTATTCTGTATGACACATGGGTAGTATCCATGACACATTGCCGCATATACTGTACTGAACAGCTGATGGCTGTCTCGGGGCAAAAGAGTTCTGTCATGGAGTCAAGAGCTTGAATTAGCTTCCTTTTTCCCATGAGACACCATTTGAATGGAACTGTGCATGCTCAAACTTGGGTGTTTTGGCGGAGGTTTTCACAGAAGTAAACAGAGTAAGTCTACCTTCTCTTCACATAAACAAATGATAGTTGTATTTGTGACAATGATAATACCTGAGTTTTCACTCAAAAATCAGAATTCTGAAAAGATGGCTCAACAGGTAAAGGTGTTTGCTGCACAAGCCTGGGAGCCCGATTTGATTCCTAGAGCCATGTGAAAGTGGAAGGGGAGAAGCCACTGCTCTGGTCTTCACACGCACAGTGTGGTGCCCACCGCACACCCACGGTGGTGCCCTCCTCACACCCACTGGCCTCATAGGCATTCATTAGTGAGTACAATAAGATTAAGAACAGAAAAGACTAACTGAGCCACGCACTGGTTGTCCTCAGTTTTGAGGGGTTGTCAGACTGCTTACGAAGCAGCCACACTAGCAGATTCCCACCAGCGACGTGGAAGGGGCCGTTTTCTCCACATTCTCAACAGGCATTGTTACCACCCTCCCACCCTTCATTCCAACCACTTGAGTGCTTGTAAAGTGTAGACTAAATTTCAAAATAGAGATTTGGCCTAGCAGAAACAACAGCTTTCTGAAATAGATTAATTTTATATTTAGAATATTTACTAGACTGACCCAAGACTACTGCCAACAGTGGCAGACTGTATCCTTGGCTGTACATGGTTGGTTCTGTCCAGGTTCTTCCTTGACTTTGAGGGCATTCTATCACCCACTCTTCCTACATAAATGTTTACAACAGAAAATGGGAAGGGGCAGTTGTGGGTCAAGGGTCCACTCTGCCCTCAGCAGAGAGGGTTTACTACTGGCTGTTAAATAGTTGAAGGACTTGTTAGGGATGTACAGATGTGGGTTGAGAAAATGAGAACTGTGCCTCTAGCATACTTCGCATCTCCCGCTGTGTGCTGTGCAGAGTGTGTGTGTGGATAGGGACAGTTCTAGGCCGGTGGCCGCACTTCAGAGTTTAGAGAATGCTGCTGATGGGAGGTGCCTCAGTAAAGGCACTCTGCTTGTGTTCTTGGGGAAGCTATGATATCACAGGGGCT